GTGGACTGGTAGCTCGGCGGGGATACGCCCACCGAAGGGAGGTAACAACTCCCGTAAGGTGTAGGTAAGTCGTGCCTCGCGTAGGCCCTATCATGTCGTAGGGGCTCGCGAGAGGTATGGCTGGCGCACCCGGCCGGAACGGCTTGTGGAAGCTCCATGTATATTGCGACGAAGGGTTCTAAAAACCAACTTCTGCGTGACGCGGCCGGGAGGGTCCCGCTCTGCTCCCGTGCGGTGCCGGATCGATGTGCCCGACAGGTGGCGCCGTTGCCGGGGATAACGGAAAGCCTACTGTTGTCCCTGGTGGAACGACATCCGGGTATGAGAAGTGAATAAGAAAAGGCATAAAGGAGTGATGAGAAGGTAATGAAAGAATATATGAATGACTAAGTGTAGGTGAGGAAATTTACCTACCCAAGTAGAGGAAGTATGAGAGACGATCGTGTTAACATTGGGTAAAGTAAGTATTAAGGGTTAGGTAGGACGGATGGAATAGACCGGTCAAGGTATAGTGTTGAATAAAGGGGATGTGCTTGTTTTATTTTGCCAGGGAACTTAAAAGAAGAGGCTGTCAAGATGCCTGAGACTGGCGGCGCATCAGTTGTTTCCAAGAAGGGCCTGACACTCGATGACCTCATCGCGGCCATCGACCGACATGAAAGGAACCCGAGCAACATCCCAAAGGTCGATACTTTCCATTTCTGTGGGGAGAGAGTCTCAGAATGGCTAGAGCGGGTGGAACAAGCTTTGGTCGGGCGACCGGATGTTGTAAAGTTTCAACGCGTCCTTCAGTATGTCCTCCACAGCTACCATCAGGAGGTAAAGAAAGTCATAGATGCGGCTAAGGTAGCTGGGAGAGGTTCAAGGACGGGATGCAGAGGAAATACCGCCTGGGAAACGGGTGGTTGACTAGCACGGACCTTGAAGCGATGAACAAAGAGGATTTTAGAGCGGGTGGAACAAGCTTTGGTCGGGCGGCCGGATGTTGTAAAGTTTCAACGCGTCCTTCAGTATGTCCTCCACAGCTACCATCAGGAGGTAAAGAAAGTCATAGATGCGGCTCAAGGTAGCTGGGAGAGGTTCAAGGACGGGATGCAGAGGAAATACCGCCTGGGAAACGGGTTGTTGACTAGCACGGACCTTGAAGCGATGAACAAAGAGGATTTTACGACTATAGGGGCCTTTGTTCAAGAATTTAAGAAGAGGGCGCGGAAGGTCCATGGGATTTCGGAGGAAGCACAGTGCGCCATCTTCCTGGGGCTACTCACAGCATCGGCGGCCGTCGAATTGATGAGAGATGGAGGAGGTAGCACTAAGCTCACCTGGGCCACCATTGACAGAGGGGTGGAAGTTGGGTGCTTGGACCAGGTGGAACAACGTCAGGTACGCCTGCAAAGACAGAAGAGAAAGGAAAGAGATGCGACCGCTTCTGGGACCCCAGGAGTAACAAGGATTGTTACAGACGTATTGGCACAGCTAGGGTATGCGACAGAACCGGTGGTGCAAAGGAGGGTGGTGACGGCTGTTAAAGTAAAAGGAAAAGAGTCAGTGATAGAGGAGGCTGGTCAGGAGGAGCTCTGGGAAGAGGAAGAGCCCGTGCCGCAGCACCTGACGAAGGTCCAGCGCAAAGTGCGTAATTTAGCGCAGGGCGGACAGGGATCAGGAAAAGCGCAGGCGCATCAGGCCCAGGCAGCAACCCCTTTAAATGTGGCGGCTCCATCATCTACTACGGGCCCCTCGCAAGGTGCGGCGCCCTCCTATGGACAGTGGCCCTGGCCGGTGATCAACGCGATTGTGCCATGGGGAAGCACACCGCCAGTAGCCGGACTGCAAACGAGTATGCCACCACCCATCTACCCCGCGGCCGAGGCCCAACCTGTGGCCCCGCCACCGTCACCTGATCCCAGTTCACAGGGCAGTGTTGTAGGAGGTGGGAACCAGGGGCAGGGCAATCAAGGCAGTGAAGGGAGGGGTGGAGGAAAGGGGCGAGGCAGGAATGGCGGCGGAAGAGGAAGGCAATGGAATGGCCAAGGCCAGGGGTACCAAGGCCAAGGGAGTYAAGGCCAGGGGTACCAAGGCCAAGGGAGTCAAGGCCAGGGGTACCAAGGCCAAGGGAGTCAAGGCCAGGGGTACCAAGGCCAGGGGTACCAAGGCCAGGGCTATCAAGGCCGGGGGGATCAGGAAAGTCAGGGGTATGGAAGACCCCGCCTTGACTGGAGGACGGCCATATGTCAACATTGTGACCAGCATGGCCACACTATAAGGTTCTGTAATATAAGACGGGAAGACGAGAGAAGCGGACTGATTTCCTCTACTATGGATGGGAATATCTACGATCAGTTTGGGGAGGCCATTGACAGAAGGCTTGGARGAGTGAGGGCTGAAGCCCAATGAAGACCGGCAGCTGGGCCACCACCCCCTGCCATGTTCAGGCTATGGCAGGAAAAGGAGAAACCACGTTTGGGGTGGAAGAAGTGGGGAGCGATGAGGAAGTGACTCAAGGGCTGCGAGGATGAAGTGAGACGGAAGAGGCCATAATCATCGAGTCAGATGACGAGGATGAGGAGGAAAGAACGGAGCCTCTGTCCGTCTTATTTGAGAAGATGGAGGACTTGCTGGATAAGATGGGGAGGTACCAACAGAAGTTGGTAGGCCTCTGTGAAGGAGTGAAAGGATGGAAGTCTAATGTCCCCATAGTATTCCTCTATGACTCCGGCCCGGAGTCAGCGCCTGGGCGACCCGGAGTAAATGTGGTGGGGTCGTGCCCTCAACCAGGAATGAGGGGGAGACCCCTCATTCCGCAGGCCCGGCTGAAACAGGCAGCGCGAACGAGAAATCAACCCAAGGCCAGTACCAGCCAAGAGCCTCCAAGGGGGAAACACGAACCAGGGAGAAGGAAAGAGGCTGTGGAAGTAGAGGACGATGATGATGAAGAGGAAGAGGACGAGAGGCTGCGCAGAGAAGAGGATCAGAGAGCGGAGCAGCGGGCAAGGAAAAAGGGAACCAGGGGAGAAGCCGAACCGGTCATACATGACGGACCGCCCAAAAAGAAGAAATACGCGGTCCGGTTGGAAGAGGGATTTGATGTAGAGAAGGTGATTGACCGGCTGCTGGAAGGGCATAATGACCTCATGACCCTGAAGGAAATCCTTGCGTCAGCCCCGCGACTCCGCGATGAACTTAAGGGGAGGTTATCACGGCGCCTGGTGCACAATGTCCATCTGGGTACGATCCTGCCCAAGGAGGCAGAGTCAGGTACGAAGATGGACTGGAAGTGCGTAGCCTGCGGTACGGTGGATTTGATGGTGAAGGGTTCCAAGTGCGCAACAATGGTGGACACCGGGGCGGAGATGAACATTATTCGGGAGGCGGACACGATCAGATTCGAGCTGGATATAGACCGTTCTGACTGCGTTATTCTGCATGGAGCCAGCTGTAAGGCCATGTTTTGCGGGACAGCCTCGAATGTGCTCGTCGAGGTTGGAAAGGTGAAGACCAGGGCATGTTTCTTCATAATGCCAGACGTGGACCATGGAATCCTCCTGGGAGGTCATTCCTAAGCAGGACAGAGACCGTGATGTTCAACAAACATGATGGGACGATGATCCTCCTCTTATGCGATCCTGCCTGCGGAAATTATGAAATAATTACTTGCAGGAATACCGGGCCAAGAAGTATAAGGAACCAGCCCAATCCAGGATCATTCACAATCGAGGAGTCGGAAGGGGAGCGCAGGAGGCTCTGGGAAGAGCCCGAAGCAGGAGAGAGGGTGGAAGTATTTTCCCTCAGCCTGTCAGATATTGGGAAGGCCATGGACTTGGTGGCCGCGCATGGGATGGCAGATCTGGATGCCATCCAGGCCTTGAGGGAACAAGTTCTCGAATGCCCTGAGGCAGGAAGGTTGGAACTTGTATATCGGCTCCCGGGCAGTAGAGGGAACCCCGCATCAGCGCAAACACAATCCGTGAGTTGGCCTTTTTTTAGGGGACGGCTCAAGCAGGGTTCTCAAAGGCGGTACAAGACGGTAGATAAGAAGTGCCGCCCGGTACCCGTCCTCGTTACAGAGGACGAGGAAGCATATTACGAGAGGGAACGAGGGTTGATTCGACAAATGAGGGAAAGTGCTTTAGCAGGGCCATGTCGTATCAACGAAGGGAACGAGAAGGAGTTGATCATAGGGGAGTCTGATTTCCTGCTGCCTCAGGAGCGAATGCTGATGGTGGAATTAATGAAGAGGAAGCATTGCGCCTACGCGTTTAGTGACGAGGAGCGTGGCAGACTGGATGTAGATAAGATACCTATGATCCGCATCCACACCGTGCCACACGAGCCTTGGAACATGAGAGGGACGCGATATCCCAATCCTGACGAGGAAAGGAAGGTGGTGGATTATCTCGACGACAAGATACGTACTCACGTCGCTGACTATTCAAGTGGACCATATGCGTCCCCGTGGTTCTGCTTTATTAAGCCTAACGGGACGCTGCGGTGGGTGCAGGATTTACAAAGATTGAATGCAGTGACCGTGCGAGATGCTGGAGGACTGCCGAATGCAGACGCGCTGTCGGAATCCTTTGTTGGAAGACCTATAATTTCGCTTATAGACCTTTACTCAGGATACGATCAGTTCCCAGTCTACCCGCCGGATAGGCCGGTGACAGCTATGCACACGCCGGGAGGATTAGTCCACATGAACGTGGCCCCACAAGGGTGGACGAACGCAGTAGCAATGGTCCAACGCGCCATGATTCGGGCCATGATTCGGGTCATGCAGTCAGTCAGCCTCCATATCACACAGCCATACATTGACGATTTGGCAGTGAAGGGGCCGGCGATGAAAGAGAGCGACGAAGTCTCACCAGGGGTAAGGCGCTTTGTCTGGAAACACATTCAGGACCTCGAAAAGGTCCTGAGCCTGCTCGAAGAGCATAACCTCACGGCAAGCGGGGCCAAATCCAGACACTGCATGAGGGAAGCGACTATCTTGGGGATAGTCTGCAATGAGAAGGGCCGAAGGCCGGATGTGAAGAAGACGGACAAGATTACTGAGTGGCCAGTTCCGTTCCACTCAATAACTGATGTCAGGAGCTTCCTTGGTACGTGTGGATTTTGGAGGGCCTTCGTCAAGAACTTTGCCGCTAAGACTGAACACCTGAGGAAGTTAGTCCGTCAGGATCAGAAATGGGTATGGGGTGAGGAACAAGAAGAGGTGGTGGCAAAAATGAAAGAGGAATTCCGAGAAGGAGGGTTGGTGTTAGGAGCGCCAGATTATGACGCCACAGAAACGCGACCCTTCATTGTCGAAACGGATGCGGGACCGACCGCTTTAGGGGGAGTTCTAATACAGGCAGACATGGAAGGAAAGGAAAGACCCTTGCGATTTGAGAGCTGGACTCTCAGTACGACAGAGAGGAACTACACTCAGTTCAAGAGGGAGACCCTTGCTGTCCTCCACTGTCTGCGAATCTTCCGGAACTCGCGACACTGCCAGTAGCATCGGCGGGCTCAGTCGTACCTTTAGCAGTAGAGGAGGGGCTGCCACCATCCAGCAGTGAGCCGGCTCAGGGCTCAGTAGAGGAATCCATGGGCGTGGTCCTTGAGGCGGTGCGTAGTATGCAGGAGGAGGTGAGTTTGTTTTCACCTGAGCAGAGGATAGAGGAGTCTCTTGAGAGAGAGATGGGGATTGAGGAGGAGGGTGTCATCGAGGGCAGACTCCAGAGGATAGGCACACCTGAGTATAGATCAGAGGAGATTGAGGAGCAGCCCACGGCAGTGCCAGAGGCGACACTCGGGAGGAGGCCTCAGAGGTTGGACACGCCCGAGTACGTCCCAGCGACAGAGGATTTGAGAGGCAGACTAGGATCTTGGGCTACTGGATCTGGGTCTGGTGGACTAGTTCCAGGGACAAAGCAGCAGGAAGTCGTTAGTACCGCAGCTCCTCGATCAGAGCAGCAGGGGGTGTCGGTACCTTGGTGGGATCTCCTTCATCGCCACCTCCTCAGCCTAGGAAGAAGAAGTTCAAGAGAAAGGTAGATCAGCTATGTTTTTACTGCAAGAGGGACGTGCATCTGACTTTCGACTGTCTCGAGTTTCTTGAGGATAAGGCAGCAGGGAAGATCTCAGAGGTAGGGGGTAAAATGTATGATAGACAGGGTAGGATAGTAGAGAAGTCCGCAGATGGACTTAGGGCTCAGTTATATAGGCAAAACCAGGAGGAGTTGAGGAGGTAGGGCCGGTTTTGTCTATATAAGTGAGCGAGCATTTTGTGAGGCATCAACTTAGGTTCTGTGTGATACCCTCTTTGACTTAGAAGACATTTTAATGATTGTTGTTAATCTAGATCTGAACTCTAGTGTTTCTACTGAGTTGGGGTTTTGAGGGTCAGGGTGGTTTAGATGAGGCATTTACATATTTAGGTGGCCTACGCCATGGCCTTTGAGAGACAGATCTGACATGTATTCTAGGGGTAGTTGTCAGTGTGGGTTTGGTGTGGCTTGAGTTGAGCAAGCTATGATTTGGAGACACTTTCTGCGTGAGACATTGTAGTCCCTGAGTGTATATTATGATGAGATTTCCCTCAGGGACCATTCTTATATGTGACGATCACTTGTGTCTCTCACATGTGTGGTTGTACTCTGATGTATGATGAGTTTGTGTGGACAATGTGTGAAAAACCTTTTATGTACCTTGGGTATTGTGAATATGATTGTAAGTAAAACTGTCTACTCCTCGGTATACTTGTGCAACCTGCCCACGGCAGCTGATAAGGTAGAGTATAAGGGGAGGAAGTGCAGTCCATCTGTGAAAGTTATCTAAGTTGTGATGAGGACTCATAAGATGGTCTCTCAGTGATGTTCTGTTTTATGATGGGACCCCCTTAGATTTTGGAAAAGGGGGGATGTTTTATGATGTTTTGTGATGTAATGAAACCCCTCGTGACTTTGAGAGAGGAGGTGTTTGGTTTATGATGAGACCCTCGTGATTTCTGGAAGAGAGAATGTATTGTTTTATGGCAAGACCCCTCGCGATTTTTGGAAGAGGGGGTGTTTTGTTTATAAAGAGAGCCCCTTTTGGATTGTTGGAAAAAGAGAGTGGTTTTTGGTTGGAAGACTCATCCTCAGAAGTGAGTAAATTGATTTATGGCATGATGAATTGTTTCATGGGTGATAAAGTCTGACGGGAAGGGCCACTTTTTGTTTGAAATGTTTGAGAAAGTCGCAATGAGTACAGGGCGAGAGATGTCTCAGGGTGGGTAGCTGCTGACTCTGATCAAGTCAGGGGTCACGGCCTGATGGATTTAGCGGTGATTTTGCTTGTAAGCGTGCGAAGGATGCCATGCCTATTGAAGGAGGGCTGATAAATGCTTTCGGACCCCTGCGCATCGCGCAGTGGGCCTGTGATTTTATTTTGCGACGCCCCATCTAACCACCTGTGCTAGTTCTGGGACATATTGAAGAAAAGCCAAGCTAACGGAAAAGAAGTTAGTACCTCTAGGGCGTAACCCCATTGGATGACTGCTAACCAGCGCAACCTGGTTGCGGGACCGCGGGGTAAGAGTTTAAGGGGAGTTACCCGCCCAAGGGAAATTACTCCGTGGGATAGTGAAGGTTGAGATTTTGGGAGATCCTGATTGGGTGCTTATCAGGAAAAACCCTATCGTTGCGTAACCAACGAGGGTACTGCCGCTAAATAACAATGTGGTGGACCGTAGTCCTGGTCCGATCAACCAGGCTATGGTGGGCCAAGATGGAGACCTGACCTTTCTGTACTAGACTGCAGAAAGAGCGGAGTGGATATTAAGTTTACACATATACTTATATGAATTTGATTGCGAGAGATTTTTGAGAAGGAAGGCGAGAGTGCCTTCAAAGGTCTCGGTTAAGGCCCGCGTCCCTAGTTTTTGCCAGGACTAGGGACACCCGACGAGAAGCCGAAGGTTGTCTAGGACCGGGGAGAGGACGATTGGGAAGGCCTTTGAAACTTATGTTGTCAGCGTCCTAATTTCTGGGTAGTGAGAGACCTGGGTTAGAAACCTGGCAGCATATAGTTGTGGAGGCATGGTTTGATGGAGGCCTCTACCCTGTGTTTGTCGGCTAATCGGATTGGCTCACTTCTTTCGTCAGCATTTGGAGTGTGAATGGATTTATAGCTTTCAGATTAGGCGAAGCGACGGGGACGTCGCTTAATATGGTCCGGTAAGGCTGTCGGTGCGAATACCCTTACAAGGGTATCCGCCCTGGGTTTTTGCAATTAACAGAAAATTGTTTGGTTTAAAGTTTAAATATACCGCGCTAAGC